CAGCCCGCATCACTTTTTCTAATGAAGCTTTGGGTTATGCTGAAGCTCAAATTGCATTGGCAGATACTATTTTCCGAAGTGTACGATCCCATCAACCAGAAGCATCCCGAGACTTTAGAACCAGAATACAAGTCGCCAATGATCGCTGCCTTTCTGCTGCTCTGGTATGCTCTGGTGGTCGGCGACGATGCGGAGATGAGGCGAGCGAACAGGGAAACATGTTGTGTCTTTAATGGATTCGGTCAAAAGTAGAAGTGTATTATTCAGGGCCTCGGACTAAGTTAAAGCTTAGGGTCTAGAGTACTTAGGGTCTGACTCACTCCTTACCCCCTTTCCGCCGTCTTTTCACAGCTCGAATTTTCAAAAAAAGGCGGTTAAACACCCGATAGCCTTGTTTGCGAACATCCACCTTCCTACTCAGTCGACTAATCCGACCTACGAAATCTTCATCTTGCTCGCACGACCAGGCCTCCGGGTTTAAAACTAGTGGGCAGCCACAGCACAACTGCTCTTTCAAGGACAAAGCTACATGATGGAGTCCGTGGTTTTTCGGTTTCTGTATAAATGCACGATAGCCAGCCTGCAAGCAAAGGGAGCCCAACAGCTGGTAACCGCGGAGAACTCTCATCATCTCGATATAGAGATTCCGTGCACAAGGTCTCGTCATCCACAGCCCATGCTTGTGGATTGAAGAAAACATGTTCAAGTAGGCTTGGGTGAGCTGTCGCATTTTCTGCAGCATGCCGGTATCAGCATACTCGGGTGGATCACGAAGGATCAAAGTCAAGTACCAGAGCAGCCATTGCATCACCATTGTGGTATCAGCACCTTTGGTATTGCACCAAGGAGCACTAGCCAAGGATTTCATGTTGAGGAAGGCTTTATTGAAGCTCCGTAGGGAAGGGTGCTGTCCCTCGGCTTTGGTCCAAAGCACAAAGGATCGGTGAGCTCTTTCGAGCCTCACAGGGAAGCTGAAGCCTTGGGCTTCACAGCCTTCGAAGTCAAAAAACTGTCGGCGAGCCAAGTACACAAGTATACCACCGGCGATGTTTCTCCCGATGCCCATCTTGCAAAGATGAAATGGGTCTAGATGGAGAAGTTCTTCGGGGGCAGGATAGGCAGGGATTGTGGCGAGTGGTGGGACAGGCTCATTGTCACCCCAGGGACGACTAGCAAAGCATGTCAATCGCCATTGCGGAGACTCGGAATAATCCTCGAACATAGGACCTCCCCCTCCAGCTAGACACATGTGGCAAACAGGCCCAGTGTAGACAGTTCCACTTCTAGCATAAGACCTTTGTAGCTTAAACAAACTCTTGTGCCATTCCATGTCCCCTTTCACAGCGACGACGGCTCCGTAGAACCTGCGAGTTCCTACGAGAAACCCTTCCTCGAAGAGACTTTTGAAATCAGCAGCCATTCGTGCGTGCAAGACATCCATCACTTCAGGGTACTTTTGGTAAACCCAGGAACCAAGACTGAAGAGCAACCATCGGGAAACAAAGGTTGAACCTCGGTAATTCGTTGCTTGCTTCATGACACAGTCATAGATGTCTTCTGGCAGGCAATAGTCTTGCAGAGAATCGCCAGCGGCACCGAACGAAGGCAAGCCCGGGGTTTTCATCAGATCTTGATGACAAGTGCAACTGGTAAACCCGTCTGGCAAAGAACCCAAGATACTTTGCATGCTTAGCACCATGCACTTGCCTTTCTTTTGCGACCTACCCTCATCACCATGTATAAGCAAGGGCACGACTTGCCCCAAACACTTTTCTAGCGGTGAATCAAACACTTTATGATGAGGGTGGCCACATCTGTACATTTGCCAAAAGCAACGAAAGTTCGTGCAAGCATCACCTTGTCCGGCAAGCAACTCTGGTGAGGAGCCCATGAGGTATGATAGCCAAGATTGAGGCCGAACATGCCATGTTCTTAGACATTCTTGGGTGTCATGGTCTATGGCATCTACAGGGACTGGCAACGATAAACCCCGTCTACGAAAAAACCTCTCAGCAAATGCTTCCGGATCCTTCGTGGCACTCACTCTCTTGCCTTCAGGCACGATTGTGCCCAGAGTCATGTTCACTGACTTCGCCGTGGCCTGAGCTGATGGATGATACAGTTGGCTGCATTATTTTGTCTTTCAGGAGGAATGGATCTGCGGTATTCTAGGGTTTGGCACATAATGGGTCTGCGGAATTCAGGGTTTGGGGTTTGTGGGATAAATTCGCGATCGGACTTGGGTTTCTTATAGGAGCCGTACTATGATAGGGATTCTGGGTCTGATCACAAGGATGCTCGTTCAACTTCAGACGAGGTGCTCCATCTCCCAGGTTTTCAGCCATTCGTTGAAGGAACTCTGTTTCGTCGTCGTCGTCATCCATACGACCTGCCATGCATGTCAGCGTCAGCTTGATCTTGGGGATCTGGTTGCATTTGTTGCTTCGTGGAAGAACTACTTGCTGCCTAGAGAAAGGCTCGTAGTGCTTAAATCATAAGGCTGTCCTTTGTAGTCGATCCAACTATACTGTTCTATAATGATCTATTTTGGGGTTTAGATCTCTAAGGACTTTAAGCATTATATTTTGGTAAACGATCTAGAAGGGCTTCTCTAGTTGGCACCAAAGCAAGCCACATCATCGGTCTGAGCTTACACCACCGAAGCCCGAAGCCCAAGATCTTTTCATGCCACCTCACCATGGTTTCCTGTAGCCCGTTTGGGTTTAGGGTTTTAGGGGTTTAGGGATTTAGATGGTTTAAGCAGGCTAAAGCGAGGGACATGTACTGCTTTCTTTCCATCGGCATGAGGCACGATCGATCCGTAATCAGATCCCCGACGTGTCAGTTGATCAAACAACTGAACAATTAAAGAAAGCTGCAAAAGATGTTGCCACATAGGTTTTCGGCAACGGCGAAAAGAGAATGGCTTTGAAAAGCTCAAACACGGCTACCGATCATTATCAGACTGTGGTTATCGATCTAGCAACACGAACCAAAGCCATCATGATCTACTTTCGTCTCCTCTTGGATGACGGGGTTTCGGCGGGCTCCGGCTTCTCAGGCATTGCCTTGCTGGCGGCTCGCTTCACCTTTGCTTTGGCCCTGCTCTTGGCCTTACCTTTGGGCGAGGTTTTGGGTGTTGGCGGCGGCGTAGATCTCTTTTCCGGATCGGCCGGGGCATGGGTCCTTAATGGTGAAGCGATAATTGAAGTAGTGATGTCCAGTTGTATGGATGTATCTGGATGGAACAACTTAGCTTGAAGCCGGGCCCTCGCGATCAACAACATCGTCTCGATCACCCTCGGTTTAGGATGTAGATGTTGGGAGTTGTCTTTGAGGCTTCGTTCGTCCTAGCTTGGGCTTGGCTTAGGTGAACTTCGGGAGGATTGCCTGGCAATTGTACTGTTCCGTGGCATCAGGTTTTAGGCGGCTACTTCGGGGATGTACACATACTACTGCAAGTTGCACATAATGGTACTTACTCAGAGGTCTGTGTCTTAAACTCTGGGTTTTGCAAGCGTAGGACTTCAAGCCTGTTGCCTCCCCTGAAACCCGGCAGAGTTTCCAGAACTGGAGGAGTGCATATTATTATATTAGGGGTTCTAAATTTAGGGATACCAGGTCTTGAGGTTGTAAGTTATAAGCTAGTAGCCAGGAAGCAACTTTTCCCCAGTCTCCAACTGGTCGCTGATGTTTCGCTGCTTCCTTGGGATATGGGTTTAGGGTTTAAGGTTTAGGCCTTGGGGGTTTAGGGTTTAGGGATTGCTGCTCTTCTTGGTAGACAAGCAGCTTGCGGCTGAAACCTGAAAGCACACCGGCACCATGATCTTTGAGCATCACTTCAGAAGCAGACTCGAGCTTCTGCAGGGTCTCCGACAACTTGTCCTTCAACCTGAAGGAATGAAGCGAATGATAGGGATTGCGGGGATGCTGAGGAAGTCGCTGTTTTAACATAGTCTTAGCCCAGAAGCGAAGCTTGAAGATCGGTCAACTCCTTTCCCTGTCCCTCTGACTCTGGGTTCGGCTTAAACCGGAGAAGCAATTGATCCAGCTTCTTAGCATGCCGACTCATGCACTTGCTTGCTGGTAGAAGCAAACTAGAAGGCTGCATATCATCCTCCAGTTTGGGAAAGCCCGTCTTCAGGGTCGCCCCATTCTGAGGCATCTCTTCATCCTGCTGTTCATCCATCTCCTCTTCGAGAGCGGGGTCGGCGTGAAGAGCGGCAGCCAGGGAAGGGTCTTGGATGAAATTCACAATGCATGCTAGAGAAAGAGCATGCATGCTACTCAGAACACGAGTGCGAACACTGCTGTAGGATGCGACTAGATATTGCCAAGCACACATCAGAGCATTCATTGCTGATGCCCGAGCAACCTTCATCATTGGATTCCATGAAGCTCCAATCATCGAAGCTGTTCTGCTTCTTGGTGGGCTTGGTACCGTCTGCATCCTCGTCCCACGACAAGGCTTCCTGAAAAGCCTGCCGTTTCGTCTTCCTGAGTTTGTAGCGAGTGAAGCAGAAGATTGGTGCCAAGGTATGTACTATATGCTGCTGAGTCTCTTCAACTTCCCGGACACTCGGATGTCGGTCCAGTACATGGTGCCGCATCCATACTTGGATTGCCTGGAGGCACAGAACGATATGGGCTTTAGATCGAGACTACCCGGGTAATTAGCCAAACTCCCCTCGGCCCTAGGCCTTTTCAGATGTGGCCGCTTTTCGCAGTATTTGACGATGCCCTTTCGCTTGTGGGCGGGGAACTTCAATTCGATCATATCCTCAATCGTTAGGAACTCTCCGTCTATCTCGAGGGTTTCCTCCTGGATGCTTTCCTGGATGTACTTACACCTCTTGACGAAGAGCTCCTCGGCATAGCTTTGGGTTTAGTTAAGTCAGTTTAGTCTAGTTGAGGTATCGGGCATGCAAGTCACTGGAATGCTATATCTAGGACAATACAATGCAAGGCTCCGGGTTGTAGCCAGCACGTTCAAACATGGCCTCCAGCTTAGGTCTTCCATGATGCTTGTCCTTGTACTGTTCACGGAATTCGGGTCCTACCAGGTAGCTACCGTCGGCTCGTGGTAGCATCATTCTCCTCATCTTGTGGTAAACAGCATCCTTGGATAGGGCGGGAGGTGGCACAGACTTCACTGCGAAGTCGCCGTCGGCCTCGTCGTCGTCCGACTCCTGCAATTGCATGTGTTGGGCAGGCACCTGATGGCGAGGTGGCAACCCTGGCGAATCAACCTGAGTGGGCTGCAGCGATTCAGGAGCCTTGGCAGCCTCTGGACATGTGTCAACTTGGGTTGCTTCGTCCGGGCTCGGCGTGCTTGGGCTTGGCTCCGGGACTTGTGCATCAGCTGAATGAGCTCTGCAGTAGTTCTCTGCTTCCGGCTCCGCGACTTGTGCATCAGCTGAATCAGCTCTGCCGTAGTCCTCTGTTTCCGGCTCCTTTTTGCATGCTTGCAGAGAAGCATCCACATCCACCGACACCGGCAAGGCCAAGGCCTCACAAACACGGGTTTAGGGTTTAGGCTTTAGGGTTCAGGGTTTAGGCTTTAGGCTTTAGGGTTCAGGGTTTAGGGTTTAGGCTTTAGGGTTCAGGGTTTAGGCTTTAGTTTTCAGGGTTTAGGGTTTAGGCTTTAGGGTTC